GAAGGCATGTTGCTCGTCCGAGTGGATTTCCTGCCCGAAGAGGTGCAAAAGACTGACCGCCTTCTCTGTCAGCTCAAGCTTCCGAAGCCTGTTCTGGATGTGGGGGAGGAGAAGGGTCCTCACATCTTCCTTCCGCATCGTTTGCATGAGCTGGCGTTGGGTTTTTTCCATCTTCAGAGGGGCTGTGCGGCGCGCGTCGTGGCAAAAACGGCACGCAGAGCCGAGAGAGCAGGAACCACCTTCGCGATGTGCACGCAAGGCTGATGGCAAAGCTGCGGATGTCCCAAACTGCCATGGGAAGCCGGTAAGAACTGGAGGAAACCGCCCAGGTCCTCAAAGTATGCGGCAGAAGGCGAAATAGAAGCGGCAGAGGCCATGCTTGGCTCACCGATTCCGAGGCGCGTCGCGGTTAAGTTCTTGAGCTGACACTGCCAGAATGCTGAAGGATCTACGTCTACTACTTCTACCTCTTCTACTTCTTCTACCACTAGGGCTACTGCTACGACGACGACTACGAGTACGACAGCTGCTACTGCTACTGCTACTTCTTCAACTCCTACTCCTACTCCTTCTACTCCTTCTTCTCCTCCTCCCACTACTACTCCTCCTACTGCTATTGCTACTATTGCTATAGCTGCTACGACTGGTGCTATTGCTCTGGCTGCTATGCAAACACTCCTGCTATGACTCGCACCCCGAATCCTCGCACTGCTAATCCTCGTTCTCCTCTTCCTCCTCCTCTTCCTCCTCCCTCCGCCTCGAACACCTCCTCGACCCCCCTAGGCCCTAAACTCCAACAGTACCCGAAACCCTTAACACCTAAACCTTAACCCCTAAACCCCCAAGCCCGAGACCCCTAAACCCCTAAACGGAACCCTGCCTTTTCATTACTTATTCTTGCGCTAGTCAGCCCCAAGAAGCCCTATCTAATCCCTAAACCCTACAAATCTGAATCCTGTGCCCTAATCATTGGCTCGACAAGCCGTGACACAGAAGGGCTGGGGTCGAGCTCGGCCTCTGTTGGGAGATCCGCCCCGCCTTGACCGGGGTCTGCGGGCTTCCTGAGACTGCATCGAGCTGAGCAGCTTCGTTGTTCGGGCAGCCTGTCTGCGTTTCGTTTCGAAACGACTTTATGGGCCGTGCGTGGAGCAGTTCCATCACGAGTCGAATATCCCATCTTCAGCACAGTGCCTCCCAACCCCAACTCTGCACGACAAGTCGCAACACGACTTTTTGAGCGGCGCTGCGGAGTGCAACCCAGCGTTCGAAACTGGGACCACATCGGGCGGAGAAATTACGTAGGTTCGGAGGCTTTAGCCGGGGTTCGGTAGAGCGTTATGTCTAAACTGATTAAACATTTACTGTTTAAAAACCGGGATGTTCAAACAAACGGGCCCCACAGCAGAAGTTGTTCAAACTGTTTAATTGTGTTTAAAACGCCAAACGGTTTAAACACATGGGGCGTTTAAACGGTTAACGGTTTAAACGTTGGAGCAGCACTTCGGAAGGTATGAGAAGCAGGACGTTTGGGGCGTTTAAACGGTTCAAATGTTGGAGCAGCGCTCCCGAAGGCATGAGAAGCAAAGCACTTCTAAAGCCTGATTTCTAGTTAATGCTCCTCGAGAGGGCGGGCCTTGAGGCGACGGTATACTGTAACCAGTGTCTGTAGAATCTTGTATCTGGGAAGAAGTCTCTGATTCAACATGTGAACAGAGCCGCCGTGGCGAAGCCCTCACATGAGCGCTGAACTGACGACGGAGGCACAGCTCGGCCAAAGGGACCTCTTCCTCCTCAGCTGCCTGGCGGGTTTGCTTCGTGAAACCTTGCAGGGCATAAGACTACTGTGAAAGCTAGTAGCGCGAGTAGTTGGTTGCTACTCTATCTAGCTAGCTAATTTTCCTGTGTTCTTTTTTGCTACGACTCTTTTGCCGCTTGTGTGTAGTCAGTAGTTTTCATCATGCACTTCTGTGCCTAGCCGTGTGAGAGGAGCCAGATTCGGGTTCACGATACTCGTGGTTGTTTGAGGCTTGTCTCTGCAACAGCTGCGGGCGGCTTTGGTCTGGCAGGATTCTAAGTACCCTTGAGATAGACGTGGCGTTGCCTGGCCGGCATGCGCCATCGGCATAGTTCGTCCTAGATGTCTGCCGACAGCGCAACGACCACCTCGCCTTCTGCAAAGTCTGCTTTGTCGAAGGGCTAACCTGCGAGGAAAGTACGGCTTGCAGTTGTGAGGTATGGGGCATACAGTAAAGTCAGCAAAGGTTGGTCGTACAATGCAACTTGGCTGGCTTGTGCGCTCCGATCACGAAGCCGAGGAGCCCAGAAGAAGAGTGGGCGCTTCCCGTCGTCGCCCCCCATCGTGCGAAGCCACAGCAGAGAAAATATGACAGGAAGCACAGTCGCCCATTGCATGGCAGAGTGCAGCGTAAATTCCTGAAACTTGCCACAAACAAGACAACTTGAGACAGTGACATGGCACACTTGTGGGAACATACGGCGAAGCAAAAGCCTTCGACTGAGCGACTACTTCAACTGCCTATCTAGAAAGACCGCTGACTGCCAGGTGTTTCACGGAGCCGCAAGCTAAGAAGAGTGCCATGAGCCATGCGTGCACAAGCCCCAAACAAACCCTCAATGCTGGTGGCGCCGATGACGAGGTGCCGCCGGCCTTGCTGTCGCTGCCCGGCAGTGTCGGCCTGCAACACTTCGTCAGGCCCCATCCCCTGTGACCGTGGCTGCAGCTATTGTTGCCGACAGCCAGCATGAGATGAAACCACAACTATAGAAAACAGTAAAGTGCAGTAGTGGAACACAATGACATATTTATGTCATGCATGAAGCTGGTAGTGACTGCACATACACAACAAATAGCAGCGTCTACTTGGACTGTGAAGGGCATGCATGGCCTCGGCTGGTTCAAGGCCTGCTTGAGCTGGGCTTGCAGCTCGGATCGCACCTCTTGCAGCGTTCGAGGTTCTAAGGCCTATTCAATGCTTCAGGCCCATGGCAACCTCGGTTGTGGGGCAACTGCGCTTCCATGCTTGATTGTTCGTGTTTGCTGCTGCTGCTGCTGCTGCTGCTGCTGCTGTCTACTAGTACTAGTACTAGTCTTGTAGCAGCAGTAGTAGCAGTAGCAGAAGCAGTAGCAGTAGTAGTAGCAGTAGCAGTAGTAGTAACAATAATATTAATGATATCATTACTAGTAGTAGTAGTAGTAGTAGTAGTAGGCGCCCCATCCGTCTTACTCGGTATTTACAGCACT